GACGCGTCGGCATCTGGTAAACATCCTGCCCGGAGAATAGGATCTGCGTGTGGCGAGCTACGCGACAGAAATGGAATGTTTACTGCCACGTGTCACTACAAATCTTTCTTTTAAGGAGAGCTATAGGGTTACTCAATGCCTTTGTTAGATGGAGAGTTCGTCCCGTTGACCGCGGCTACGTTCGGCGACTAATTGTCGCCTTGAGCTCAAGCTCCTTGTCACAAGTCTCAAACAAATACAATTAGGTAGAATGAAGGCAAATCGTTTAATTACAACTGTAGATTTTAATTACAACGTTTTTATGGATTTTCCCGAGGTTTCAGAAGGAAGGCACCGGTGTCCTCTTATCTCCGACATATAGATATATGCAACTTGATATTGTAGAACCCATTCATTCATTACGTGATTCATTAAACCCAATAGGAATCGTATAGCTTTTGTAATTTTGTATAAATTGAGGTCAAATTTGAAAAATTGCGATCGTATCGAACAATCTAATCTGACCCAGCGCCGTTCTACGAAGCAAGCCTTGCATTCGGGCGTCACCTCACAGCGAAAACCATGAATATTGGCGCTGGCGTCAACGTGTTAAAGTTAAACATTCAAATAATGCACATGGAACTGATATAACGATTATGACGCCTTTTCAACGGAAATGGACACGAGAATGAAAGAACGAATTGATGACGACATTGAAAACGGAAATGAAAACGACAAGGGAGAAACGAATCTATGACAAACTTGGCTATATCCTCGAACTACTTTATTCTGATAAAGAACATGGATAGATTAACAAGAAAGAAGAAAATTATGGCTCATGGGGTGTCAGAGCCTCCAGGACCCATCGGTGTTGCGGGTGGTACCTCGCCAGGCTCGCCCCGACGGTCATCAAACGACTAGGTGAGGAACAACGTGAGGATGATCGGTCCCAGGGCCACCTCTAGCACGGTAAAAGCGACCGGGGACCAGAAGCGTGGAGAGAGAGGGAGAGAACGACGTTGATGGTAAACGTGACAAAGGCTCCATAATATCGAGAAGGGTGCCATTAAAGTGGCGGACCCATTCAAGCCTGGACGAAGATTGAAGAGGAGTCCGGTAAGAAGAGAGGTAACTGGACAGGATAGCGAAATGGAGGTTGCCTCCCAAGAGAAGTTGACGGACCAGAGTAGCTATCTGATTCCGAATTCCAATAAAAATAGAAAATTCAGGGAAACGAAGGAGGAGGAGAAAACATTAATGAAGAACAGAGGAGTTGGTGGCAGAATCAACAACGATGGAGCGATGGTTGAGCGGTCTTCCGCGGATGAAGGTAGAGGTCCAACGTCCAGTCTGTGGGATCTTAATTCTATGCGGCCCGTACGGACGGCGCGCGGCTAGCGCTGACGATCGCTGTGGACGGAGTACTTTTTCGTTAGACTGAACTCTGTTGATTGACTATTCAAAGCGCAAATCGTAATAAGTTATAGTAATTCTTTTGCACGAGATTAAATGATTCAAGAGCGTTATTTTTTAGTATTAATTATTTATTATAAACATTGATTATTATAAATTATTTTTTAATATTAATTATTTATTATAAACATTGAAATTTACAATAAACTAGAATTTGGATAATAAACTAGAAAACAATAAACTAGGAAACTAAATTTAGTAAATATAACACAAGTTAATAATTCAGTTGTGTGTGAAAAATTTCAAAACAATTATCGATACATAATCCGACATCGCATTTTCTGCATTCGTATCGCGTGCCGGTCCTTCTCTTATTTTTCACACAAACAACTATTTTCTTCCTGATAATTGTGTTGTGCCGGCACGATTAGGGCATTTTGATGGAAAATGCCTATCAATTAAACGAAATGGTAAATCCTCAGACTTTCTCTTTCCTCCTCCTACCATGCTTCTACGTTGGAAATATTTTCGTAAAATGTCTCTTATCAACGCTAAATGAAATTCAATATCAAATGAAGAAACAATATCAGCAGGAACGTTACGAAATACGGTCTAAACTAGGAGATATCACAGTCTTCCCAGAGGAGATTAAGACAGAGGAAGAGCACTGGGGATTGGGGAAAAGTGAAGAGAAGAGTGGCATTATTATGGGAGTGACAATTGATCGAAGAGGTTGGCGGCAAACACCTGCACTTTTAGGAAGTGTAGAAGAGAAATAGACCACATCATGATGCAGATCCTGACAGGAATCTTTACGTTTATCGCAAAACTATAAACAAAGAAATACCAAATGCATACCAAATGTTGGGACTGCGACTATGAAGGAGACGATGCTGAGCATACGCTGTTTCACTACCCTAGGTGGATACGTGAAAGGACTGAATTGCAGAACTATATCGGCACACCTCTGACAATGGATAATTTTATTGAAGTGATGATAAAGAAGGAAGATAACTGGACTAGGTTCCAGACTTGGTGTAAGAAGATTATGACGACGAGACAAGTTCAGGAGAGAAATCTTGAGAGAAGAAGGACTGTGAGGTGAAGACCTGGACTAAAAGAGGAGTACTAATGCCGAAAGGCTGTACCGGGGTTGGTACTTGTACTGCGAGTGGAGCGGATAGAGAAAGAGCTTTTAATGGGTGTCACCACCTACGAGTCCGACATAACCCGGTGACACAGTCACTGGGTATGCGTAATAGCATTTTCCCCTCCTCGCGGGACAAAAAAGGCTGGAGTAGCTGAGGGGATTGAGACTCTCTCAGATCACCTCTATATATTCATGGAGATAGGGCCGGAGAGAGGCCGTGGGAGATACCCGCGGCATCCGGGCAGTAGAACGCTCCCGCCCGCCACCAAGATGGCGCATCAAAGATAGAGACAGTGAGATGCTCCAGGCAGCAGCCATTTTGGCGGCCTAGAACTGGGACTCTTATACAGAGTAAACAAGCGTGGACGAGGAGGCGGAGAGCCCCCGTCGAGACATGACCGCGGCATGTGATGCGTCGATGCCGCGCTGCGTGCCCGGTGCTACACAGAACGAAACTGTGGACTCGCAAACGGTTCCAGAGGGCCCGCCGTCGCCGGCTTCGTGACGACCAACAGATCTCCCTCTGCTACGAGGCATATAGCGAGACGCGACGCATCTTACAGCGGAGGATCAAGATCGCTAAAGCCCGATCCTGGATAGACCTCGTCCAGTCGATCAAATCCGATGCATGGGAGCGGCCGTACAGGATGGTGATGAAGAAGCTGCGTCCAAGAGCCCCACCGCTGACGGCACATATGGATCCGGCATTGCTTGAGGAAGTCATTCGCACACTGTTCCCGCCACAGAAGGTCAGCCCGGGGCATCAGCGCACTTCCTCGACTTGGATAGTGAACTGGAGAGAGGAACTGGAGGCTGCGGAGGAAGAGATGCTAGATGCGGCGAGATAGATGACCTCCCGCGATGTGGAACGTGGCGCCGCCGAGACGGCGTCCCAGGACGGGTATGAACGGAGACGATGGGGATCATGCTTCCCTGTCTACGACAGCTATTTACACGGTGTCTGAGGGAGAGAGCCTACCCTCGGATATGACACATAGCGATGGTGGTCCTGCTTCGGAAGAATGGACGATCGACGGACTCGCCGTCCGCGTATCGTCCGGTGTACCTATTGGATGAAGTGACAAGCTCTTCGAAAGAGTCATTGCCACCCATCTGGAGGCTCACATGTCGGGGTAAGTGCCCAGTTGGCACGAAAGCCAGTACGGCTTTCGGCGGGGCTGCTCGACGGTGGATGCAGTGAACCGGCTACGGGAGATGTCGCGGACCATGATTCCCTGGGGTGGAGTAGCGCCGGCAGTTTCTTTAAACATAATTAATGCGTTCAACACAATATTCTGGGATGGGATAGTGGAGGCCCTTAAATTCTTCGAGGTGTCTCCCAACATTATTCGTGTCATCCAGACCTACCTAAGCGACAGGTGGGTTGGGTACGCTGGCAAGGATGGGGAGGGAAAGCGGCCCGTCAAGCGCGAGGTTCCACAGGGTCGGTTTTGGGACCGATTCTTTGGATCATCGGCTACGACGCGGTGTTTCGTTGTCCCATGTCCCCAGTCACAGGCATGGTGTGTTACGCGGACGACACGTTGGTCCTGGCTGAGGGACGCTGAGGGTGATCCCAGCCAAGTCGGAGGCCATATGGTTTTGCGATTGACGGCGTAGGGCGGCTCCTCCGCCTGGCCTGTGTTTGGACATAAACGGGGAGGACGTCGAGGTAAGGCTTTAGATGAAATATCCGGGCCTCACCATCGACAGTCAATGGACATTCGGACCGCACTTCAGGCTCCTAATTCCCAAAGTGACGATGGCGGTCAACGCCATATATGGCCTGCTGCCGAATATCGGTGGGGCAGGAGTCGGAGAGCGCCGACTATATGAGGGAGTCATCCGTTCTCGGATTCTGTACGGGGCTCCGGTGTGGGCAGGGGATCTGATGACGAGTCGTCGCAGTTTGCTCTTACTGAGGAGACTACATAGGACGACCGCCATCAGGATCGTAAGGGGATACCGGACGATATCGTATGCGTCGGCAAGTGTTCTAGCGGCGTCTCCTCCGTTCGAGCTTCAGGCCTTGGCGCTCCGATGGGTGTACAAAAACCGGAGGGGTTATAGGAATGTTTACCGTCGCGTGCCGCCACAAATATTTCTTTTAAGGGGGGCTATAGAATTACTCCGTACCTTCGTTAGACAAAGCGTTCATCCCTTGACCGCGGCTACGTTAGGCGACGGACTGTCGGCTCGAGCCAAAGCTCACTATCACCAATCTCGAACAATTACAATCGGATTGAACAACTACAATTCTTTAATTACAGCTATCGTAGACTCTAGATTACAATGTTGCGGGATTATCCAAAATTCCAGAGGTTCCGGTGTTCTTTCGTCTCCGACATATATATATGTCGGTGGAATGGAAGCGAGGAGAAACTAGAAGAAGAAGGAAGGAGAGAGGCGAGAGGATGAGATAAGGAGAAAGAAAGGGGGGTACATAAAGGGATTGAAAATGTGCTTCTGGAACGTGGCGGAGATAATGAACAAGGACAAAGAGGTATGGGAATATTTGAGGAAAGGTAAAACATAGACTACCCAAGGAATACGACTGGAAACGACTGCAGGGCAGTAAGGAGAAAATGGAAAAAGGGAAGGGCAAAAGGGAGTATAATAACAGGCCTAAAGAAAAATCTGAGGGAAATAGAGTATGTTTTCGCACGTTCGCGGGGAGACACGATCTCGAAGAAGCGCGCCAACGGGAGTCGTAAATTCCCGTTACGATTTGATAATCGACGCCGCGAATCGTTCGATCCCTTATTTCTTTTGGGATAATAAGGGTAGTTAAATTAAAGATAACGCTGCTGCTAACACGTTATTATATATTTTCACAAACCAACAACTTCGGTGTAACACAAAATGAATATTTGCTATGAGATGACTACTGTGTTCGACTTGTTGACGGCTTAAAGAGATGTTTGATTGAGACTGACTGATCTTCGGGTGTAAACCCGGTCGAAGGATGTTGACTGTTCGAAAGATAGAAAATCAGTGAGGTTCGGAGACGATGCTGTGGCGGAGGAAAGCTAAGGATGGGTGTGTCTAGCGCACGGGGCCATCGGATTTGTTGGTGACGATTTTAGTTAAGAGAGTGAGGGAAATAGGCTTCGTTGTTAATTGGTTAAACAAAGGGTCTTAACCGCCCTTGAGAGAAAGTGGTTAGTGGGAGGAAAGTTGCATCATACGTGAAAAAAACTAACTTTCCCTTGTCAAGCCGTAGTAGACAAAGGTCTTTAGAAATGCTTCGGAAACAGACGTTTGTTCAGTTTGAAAGACCTCGACTAGGAAATTCCTGAGATTTATGGAAGGTACTCGAGACTATTGATGGTACGCAGTGAGTATCCGAAGACATCTGGTTGCCATCTTGCCCGCGGTGTGTGGCCTGGGCTAGGTAGAGTGTTACGCGACGTAACAGAGTATAAAGAAATAAGTGACAACATAGTAGAAAGAAAAATAAGGTACAAGGAGAGGAATTGTGGTGGTTTATAATCGGAACGCAAAAAGGACATGGAAAGAAATAGAGGAAAGAGTAGAGGGAAGGAAAGAGGAAGTGGCGATCATAGGAGGAGATTGGAATGCAAGAACGGGAGAAGAGGGAGGGTTGATAAACAAGGAACTAGAAAAAGAAAAGAGCAGGAGATCAAAAGACAAGACAATAAATACGGAAGAAGGAATTCTACTAAGGCTGCTGGATGAAAGAGGCTGGACGATAATTAATGGTCGAGACAAAGAAGGAAATGAGTGGACGATGAAGAGATGAGGAGATATATGGGGGAGAAAGGAAAATCGGTAATAGACTACGTGATTGGCAAAGGGTCTTAACCGCCCTTGAGAGAAAGTGGTTAGTGGGAGGAAAGTTGCATCATACGTGAGAAAAACTAACTTTCCCTTGTCAAGCCGTAGTAGACAAAGGTCTTTAGAAATGCTTCGGAAACAGACGTTTGTTCAGTTTGAAAGACCTCGACTAGGAAATTCCTGAGATTTATGGAAGGTACTCGAGACTATTGATGGTACGCAGTGAGTATCCGAAGACATCTGGTTGCCATCTTGCCCGCGGTGTGTGGCCTGGTTTAGGTAGAGTGCTGCCGGCGCAACAGAGGTGAAAACCAACCACTTCCAAAGATATAAAGAAATAAGTGACAACATAGTAGAAAGAAAAATAAGGTACAAGGAGAGGAATTGTGGTGGTTTATAATCGGAACGCAAAAAGGACATGGAAAGAAATAGAGGAAAGAGTAGAGGGAAGGAAAGAGGAAGTGGCGATCATAGGAGGAGATTGGAATGCAAGAACGGGAGAAGAGGGAGGGTTGATAAACAAGGAACTAGAAAAAGAAAAGAGCAGGAGATCAAAAGACAAGACAATAAATACGGAAGAAGGAATTCTACTAAGGCTGCTGGATGAAAGAGGCTGGACGATAATTAATGGTCGAGACAAAGAAGGAAATGAGTGGACGATGAAGAGATGAGGAGATATATGGGGGAGAAAGGAAAATCGGTAATAGACTACGTGATTGGCAATCAGGAAGCGATAGAAGAAATAACAGACATGAAAGTAGGAAAACGAGTAGAGTCAGACCACATGTTGGAAATAGAAATAGAGGGACCAGAGTTACAAAGAGATGAGGAAAGAAAAGAAGAAGAGAAGGAGAGAAGGGAATGGACAAAAGAAAGTGTGGGAAGATATTTAGAGGAGTGCAAAGACTGGGCAAGCAGAGAAAGAACAGTAGAGGAAATGTGGACAGAAATTAAGAAGAAGATAAACGAGGCAATACCAAAGAAGAGAGTAAGAATAAGGAAATGGAGCATAGGAGAAAAGGTATGGTACAACAAGGAGTGGAAAGAGAGGAAAAGGGAGATAAGAAGGAAAATGACAAAATTTAGGAAAAGAAAATGCAGCAGAGAAGAATTCATAGAGGAGAAGAAGGCATTTAAACAGTGGTGTAAACAAAGAAAGGAGAAGCAGGAAGAGGAAGAGATGGAGAAAATCAACAAGATCAAAACAGAGTAAGAAGCATGGAAATACACAAATAAATATAGGAGAAGAAGAGAGGTTGTAGACGAAGATATAAGGGAAGAGGAGTGGAAAAATTATTCTATGGAAATGTTAGAGGGGACAGAAAGCAAAGAGGACAGAAGAACAGAAGGGCGGAGAGCGGAGGAGAAATCAAAGGAGGAGAGAGAAGACATCATAGAGAAAGAAGAGGCGATATTCCAAATAAGAAACTTGAAAGAGAAAAAAGCAACGGGGGAAGATGGTTTGGAGAACGAGGTATGGAAGTATGCGCCGAAGGAAGTGGGGGAGGCGTTATGGGAGATGTTAAGGAAAATATGGAATGGAGAGGAGATACCTGAAGACTGGAGAAAAGGCGTAATATGTCCGATTTACAAGAGGGGGGACAAGGGAGCAGTGAAGAGCTACAGAGGGGTCACGTTAATAGACACAGCATATAAGATTTATGCAGGAATTCTGGACGAGCGGCTGAAAGTGGAGATCGAAGACAAGCTGGGAGAGAGCCAATTCGGGTTTAGGAAAGGAAGAGAAGTGATAGACGCAGTGTACGTATTGAACCACATAATAGACAAACAATTAAGCGGGGAAAGAGGGAAGCTATATGCATGCTTCGCAGATCTAAAGACAGCGTTTGATAGGGTCAACAGGAAGAAGCTGGGGGAGATAATGAGGGGAATGGGGGTTAACGAGAAGTTGATCAGAAGGATAGAGGAGATATACGAAGAGACAAAGAACGTAATGAGGATCAGAAACAATAACACAAAAGAGTTTTGGACAGTGAGGGGAGTGAGACAAGGGTGCCCGCTGAGCCCGACACTATTTAACATCTATGTAGCAGGGCTGGAAGAGGAAATAAGGAAAGGTCAACTAGGAGGCATAGTGGTAGGAGATAGTAAGGTATGGTCACTATCATATACAGATGACATTGTATTGATAGCGGACAGAGAAGAGGAGTTAAAAGAAATGATGAAGAGATTTAAGACATTCCTAAAGGAAGTGGAACTGGAATTGAGCACGGAAAAGACGAAAGTAGTAGTGTTTGAAAAGAGAAGGAACAATAGGAGGTAAAGGAACTGGAGATGGGGTGAGCAAGAACTAGAAGAAGTGGATGAAATTAGGTATTTAGGGTACATACTGCAGTAAAGGAATGTATAAAGGAGAGAGAAAGGAATTGGGGAAAGGGCCAAGAAGGGAAAAGAGCAAGGGAAAGAAAGATGAGGTTAGAGGAGGCGAGAGAGGGAAGGACACAAGTGGAGGCAGGAGATAGACAGGAAAGGATGACAGCTAACCAAATCATAGAAGAAAGAAGGAAAAGAGAAACAGAGGAGAGGGAGAAAAGGATAAGGGAATCTAAATACAACAGATACTACAGAAACATTGCAAAAGAAGGGCTACCAAAGTATCTAGAAGGAAAGATGAAATGGAAGGACAGAAGTATGGTAGCAAGATTTAGATGTGGTAACGAAACCAGGGCAAGGGAACACTGGAAAGAGGAGGGAGAAAGAGGATGCAGATTATGCAAAAAAGGAGAGAAGGACTTGAAGCACGTAGTAGAGGAATGTGAGATAACAGGAGGAGCAAGGAACATGGTAGAAGTACTGAATGAGACTGGAGAAGGGCTGACAGAATTGAAAGCGATAATAGAGAACAGAAGAGTAGCAGAAAAGGGGGAGGAACGACAGGGAGGGAGCACAGCAAGGAAGCAAAAGCCAAAGAAGGAATGAGCACTTAGTTATAAGCGTTAGATATAAGTTAATAGTTAGTTATTAGAGAGAGAGCAAGCAAGGTGCAATAGATAGATATAAGCAGTATATAACAATAGAAGTGCTAGAGTAAGAGAAATAGATGTAATGTAGGGCATTATAAGAGATGTGTTAGGGAAGTGATACATTTACACTGTACATGAGAGTGTATGTGTAAGGGTCAGAGGGCGTCAAGGTCTTAGTGGAGACAAAAGACTGTTGCCAGATGTTAGAAGAATCTAGGATAGTCGGTTGGCGACAAGCGTGCGTGCAAGACGTTCTTCAGAGTGTAATTTAGATGTATAGCTATTGTGTGTGAAATATAACCAATTATTTGTATTTCCAAATCCTCGAATTTCCTTAACAAGATGTAAACCGAAAGTCGTCCAAAGCCGAAAGGCACGGACTAAGGATAAATAAATAAAATAATAATAAATAATTACGGTGTTAAGGGATTTTCCCGAAGTTCCAAACGGAAGGCTCCGATGTCCTTTCATCTCCGACATATATTATATTGTACATCTAAATTGCTCTTGAAGCACGTAGTAGAGGAATGTGAGATAACAGGAGGAGCAAGGAACATGGTAGAAGTACTGAATGAGACTGGAGAAGGGCTGACAGAATTGAAAGCGATAATAGAGAACAGAAGAGTAGCAGAAAAGGGGGAGGAACGACAGGGAGGGAGCACAGCAAGGAAGCAAAAGCCAAAGAAGGAATGAGCACTTAGTTATAAGCGTTAGATATAAGTTAATAGTTAGTTATTAGAGAGAGAGCAAGCAAGGTGCAATAGATAGATATAAGCAGTATATAACAATAGAAGTGCTAGAGTAAGAGAAATAGATGTAATGTAGGGCATTATAAGAGATGTGTTAGGGAAGTGATACATTTACACTGTACATGAGAGTGTATGTGTAAGGGTCAGAGGGCGTCAAGGTCTTAGTGGAGACAAAAGACTGTTGCCAGATGTTAGAAGAATCTAGGATAGTCGGTTGGCGACAAGCGTGCGTGCAAGACGTTCTTCAGAGTGTAATTTAGATGTATAGCTATTGTGTGTGAAATATAACCAATTATTTGTATTTCCAAATCCTCGAATTTCCTTAACAAGATGTAAACCGAAAGTCGTCCAAAGCCGAAAGGCACGGACTAAGGATAAATAAATAAAATAATAATAAATAATTACGGTGTTAAGGGATTTTCCCGAAGTTCCAAACGGAAGGCTCCGATGTCCTTTCATCTCCGACATATATTATATTGTACATCTAAATTGCTCACAGGTTATATTTTGCAAGTTGTAGAGGGAGGTAGTTAGTAATTAATTAACACGTTCGTTGCCCAGCATGATTCGGCTAAGTTTTCTGCGGGGCCCAAATCCGACCGCCGGTACGCAGAACGTAAATAGAGCGACAAGCGGTAATTCATTGTTTATCGCCATCATTGCCGCCTTGTAAAGAAAAGATTATTTAGTTCTGAAATGGAGAAAGCGATAAGCTTTCCAGCTAGAGTATTCCGAGGGATGTCATGGCAGATATCTGAGATCTTTCATTTAGTCGAGAAGCATACTTGTGAGACGTACATCAGTGATATTTTCATGCTGAATATGTTCAGTAAACGACGTGAAAATATATTTGAAAGTGAGGGAAGTAGTGATGACGGAGTCTACAACTATTGGACGAAGTGCCCAAAATCACCCCAAATGTGTTTGGAATGTTTTAACAAATATCATGCGATATAAAATAATATAATATATTATCCAGAATATAAATTAATAAAAAGTATGGTGTAGGAAGTGTAGTAATTGGTGGTTGCTGCCAGGAGAAAAGAGAATTCGCGTTTCGTCCCGGGACTACCGGTGGACTCGTCAGTAAGGCTATGCCCGGTAGTCCCTGCCTTAGACGTAGAAGGAGTCTCGCTAGATGCGGTATTTGTATCGTGACACCGTATATTTGATCGCGAGACAGACAGACTCGTTGTCGTCGTAGTAGCCCTCTGGTGTTGGCGGTTGGTACCCGCGGAT